CACAACCACACACACACCACACAAACAAACACACTCATAAAGACACACAAAACACAACATAAAGACACACACAAACACCACAAACATAGACACACATAGACACACACATACACAGATTACGAGACCACCATCACAGATGGGGACAGATACACACACACACACAACACAAATTACTTCACACCCACTGTTGGTCACACACATCCACACAATGCACACGATTTTGACACACCGACACACACACACGACCATTGCCAGAAATATCACAGACAGAGACCACACAACAGCAACCCAGAAACGAACACACAGACCACACCAGACACACAGACCACACGACACAGATCAAGAAACAACAAATTTGAAATAATGTTTCACACAAGTTCAAGTTTGACAAACACCGGAGTCAATTGTACACCACACACATTAGTAGGTTGATACAACATCACACACCACACACTCAAACACAACACCACACAACACCAGCACACACCATTTGTCTAACCACACCAACACCCACAATAACACCCACCATCTTACACTCACAACACAACAATGCCACACAAACACCATAGTGGTCACACCAAACACACACCACCACATGTTGTACCACAACACACACACACACATACACCACACCACATTTCAAGACACACACAGACACACACGCCAAGACACCAAAAGACCACACCAGTTCAAACACAGGCACACACACACACCAGGTTTCACACACAACCACACACAGCCACCAGATGTTACCACACCAACACACCACACACACACAGGAGAGGGATAATTGCTTCAAGCGAATCCTATGGTATAATAAAGGTGAAGAGTGTGGTTGGCATAAAGGGTAAAGTGAGGCTTACGAGACATGCACACACACAAAAACACCACTACAAAATAACATAGACCTCAGATACACATACAAAGATACACATAACCCACATACGACATGCACATACATGCACCACGCACACACCTGCACATTGCATCCACATGCACAGACTCCCTGCCACACACAATTTTAGACAATTCACACACATCACAACCACCCACACACAACACGACACACAACACACACACATCAACACACCACACACACCACTCACACATAAACATCACAACACACCACACACACACACACACATTGACCACACACACGAAGTGCCACACAACAAACAGACATACCAGACCACGCAGACAACATTTGGTGAGTCACAGACAACAACACAAACAGACACAAACACATCACCAAACAACAGAATCAACACACACACACACCACACCACACAAAGCACACACAACACACAACACAACACACAGAGTATATCACACACAACAACCACAGGAGAGGATAATGCTCAGGAATCCTATGGTATAATAAAGGTGAGAGTGTGTTGGCATAGGGGTAAAGTGAGGCTAGCAGACAGGCAACAAAACCCAGACACATACACAATACATAGACACCAGATACACATACACAGATACCATACCAATACAGATCACATAATGCCCACGCACACACTACAAACACATGCACACACATGACACCACCCACCACACACACATACACAACACAAAACAACACACCACACACACACACCACACACACAACACACACACACACACACCAACACAATGCAACACACACACACACACACCACACACACACACACACACACACACACACACACACACACAACACACAACCACACACACACACACACACACACACACACTAGAACACCATAACATATACGGAGACACACAGATACAGACACTAATATGGGTTACAGAAACATACAGAGAAAGTTGTGACACACATAGACAAAGACTAAGCCGAGACACATCAGATACGACGCACGTCACACACCAACACACCACACACACACACACACACCCAACACAACCACCCATTTTCGACACACACACCACCACCCCACCACACACAACACACGCACACGCAACATACAACATGCCTACACTCGAGACACGGACTGCAAGATAAACAGACTCACAAATCACAGACTCACGATAATCAGATCACAGATACAGCAGATTTACAGATACCAGACTCACAGATAGCAAGACAGCAGATAACACAGACTCCAGATCACAGACTACAGATAACACAGACTACAGATACACAGACTCAAGATAACAGACTCACAGGTCCAGACTCAAAGATACAAGAACTACAGGTAATCAGTTTACTCACAGATACAACAACGAAGACACACACACACACATGATACTCGTGATTATGGTATTTGTTTCACACCTGCACTTCGTTGAGTCATTGACACAACAGTTACACCACAACATTATGTCACACTTTACCAACACACACACACAAGACCCAGCACCGACATCACACAGACACACACAGTTGAGACTTTGTTAAACACACACACACAAAAACCACAATTCACACAGCACACACCATGTTCTTGCCACACACACACACCACATAGACAACACGATAGTCATTGCACAAGATTATATTATGACACACACTACAAGAGAGACCACCATATAGTAGTGACACATACACCGTATAAGATACACACACGCGCACAACACAGGTTTTGCATCAACATAGACCACACACATGTCCCACACACAGTTCACACCCACACGCCCACAGACACACATGTCCACACATCACCTAAAGACCCAATTAGGGTGCACAGAAGTCCACACACACCAAAATAGACCACATGACCCAATAACGATACGGCACATTGTATTATACACAGTATGTGTATTGGTAGTCCATACACAGATACAGATACAGATAAGATAACACTTCCGTATCTGACATAGTATTAGTTTGTATGTATGGGCACACAGTTGACACAAGACACACACAACACACAGTGTGCGAGTTCACACACACCACACAACACACTACACACCACACAGAGACCCACACACACAGAGAACACACACACACAATACACACACACACACACACACACACCCCACACCAACACACACACACCACACACCAGACAACACAGACAAGACACACACAACACAGACACACACACACACCACACACACACACAACACACACACACAACAGACAACACAGACACACACAGACACACAACACACACACACACACAACACACACACACACCAAACACAAAACACACAACACAACACAACACACACACACAACACAGACACACACACAGATAAGATACACACACACAGATACAGATACAGACAGATACAGATACAGATACAGAAGATACACCACACACCACACACACCACACACACACACACACACACACACACACACACACACAACCACACACACACACACACACACACACACACACACACACATTTTTTTTCTTTCTTTTCCTTATATATATACTTTTTCTTATTTATTTATGTATTATGTTTTTTATTGTTTATCTCATGGGCAGTTTTAGCAATACAACATACTTATCACAACCACCTTCATCAATTTTCATTGCTTTTCTGTTCTAGAAATAGTCCATAGGTTTATCGTTATACCTGGTGGATTAAATTTGGTTACCACTAATGTTTATGTTGTTTTGTTTCTAGTCATATATGATTTTTATTTTTGTGTAAGCAGTGTTGACATGCAGTCTTCTATCTTTCGCAGGGCCATGATGAGTTTCCCTTCCAACTGGATGCTTTCGGCCCCTCTCACCGACGGAGAAATATGTGATGCAAGAATCGGTATCAAAGAAGAGGTCACCGAAGACACCAGTGAAGACAACTCTGTAGAAATAAAGGAAGAACCACTTGATTACGCAGATACATCAAGGCATGAAGAGATTGCGGCAAAAATTAAATATGAATTTCCTTTCTTTAAGGAAGTTCAAAAATTCAGACATGAAGCAAATGAAAAAAAATTATCTTATGTGATTCAGGATTCTAATGCCATGTTGCCGACAGCACCATTTGTGGCAGAAAATTGTGGGGACAAGTGCTTATTTGATGGTGATGAGGTGACACATTCGGAAGTTCATGAGATTACTCACCGAAAAGCTGTTAAAAAAAGGAGACATATTGCCTGTGAAGTTTGTGACAACAAATTCACTAGCAATAGTAATCTTTTGATTCATATGAGAGTACACACACAGGAGAAGCCATATAGTTGCGAGATTTGCAATAAGTCCTTCTCGCAAAAAACTAATCTAGAAAGGCACATGAAAGTTCATACAAAGGAGAAGCCATATACCTGTGAAATTTGCAATAAGGCTTTCTCACTGAAAAATATTCTTGTAAGGCATATGAGAATACATACAAAGGAGAAGCCATATAGCTGTGAAATTTGCAGTAAGGCTTTCATACAGAAAAGCATTCTTGTTGGACACATGAGAGTTCATACCGAGGAGAAGCCTTTTATCTGTGACATTTGTGATAAACCTTTCTCAATGAAAAATAATTTAGCAAAACACAAGCGAGTACACACAAAGGAGAAGCCCTATAGTTGTGAGATATGTAGTAAAGCTTTCTCAATGAGAAGTAATCTAGTGAAGCATATGAAAGTACATGCAAAGGAGAAGCCCATTTAGCTGTGAGATTCGCAGTAAGAAATTCTCATTGAAAATTGTTTTCTTAAGACACAAGATATTATATAGAAAGGCCAAGCCATTTGGCTGTAAGGCTTGCCAGGAGTCATTCTTTCCAAAAAATACTCTAGTAAGTCATATACAGGTACATTTGAAATAGAACTATATAGGCAATCTCTTAGAGAGAGAGAAAAAAAGTTGATTAAAATACATGAGGGCATAGAACACACAGGCTTTATATTTTTGCATTTTGTAGATATACATTTTCTCAATTTAGCAATTTAGTAATACACAAACTACAAGGATATTTGGAAGGAACAGCCATCCTGATGACATTGTTTTGGAGATATTGTTCTAGATTATGGATTTTTTCTTGTACATATATATTGTAAATGATATTCTCAATGTGTAGTTCACAAGTGGATTAAATTTTCATGTATTATGATGAATTTTAATCGCCATAGTTAATGGGGTAAGATTTCTCTCTCACAGTTATGGCTAATGTCACATCCCAGGGTGATCCTATCAATACTTTGCTCGTTGTTGTCGTGGAAAGGCTTAGGAGATGGGGATTGAGATCAAGTGTAAGGGATCACCCCTACCTTGGGCCTTAGCTCTCGCCTTAACTAATTTTGCTTCGTCCTTTCTTATCTTCTTTCCTCTTCCTTATATTCTTTATTCCCTTCTTTCCCATTCTTAACGTGTGAGAGCCGTCCTGAAAGGATGAAAGGCTGGCTTTGTGTCAGTCACAAACGGCCTTCGGGAGCCTGGGCACGGTATTCCCATAACTGCCTAGCCCTTACCCCTTATTGGGACCCTGAGTGGTAGACTTTCTTTTCCCCATTTTTTTCAGGCTCACCATGGCCAATAATGAAGATTCTTTACCCTTAACCCATCCGTCCCGGGTGTCACATATATGAGACACAAGGAAAAAATAAACAGTTTCGGGCTGCCCGCCAGTGCGATGCTGTCAGCCGTGCTCCGGGCAAAAGCGGCGGGGCCGGCGACAGACTCCAGCCGATTTTGTAGCTTCCCGGATTTTTTTCATTTTGGCTACAAAATGTACCCCGGCGCGGGTGGGTTAATAGGGGCATTAAGGCTTACCACTTCATCAATTAGCCTATCTGAATTTAATTTTGATGGTTTTCAGACCCCTGCCCCTCCTTTGACCACGGCTCCAACCACTGATACTAATACCCCCTCTTCAACGCTTACAAAAAACTCTAACCATTCCAAAATACCCACCCAGTTTATTACTCAACCTCTAGAAAGAACCCCTTCCTCTTCCCTAACACTCTTCTTTTCATCTCCTGCTGCACAGTCCTCTTTAATGTCTACCCCCACTTCCCTTATAACTACTCTTCATCCTATCGTCCTTCCCCAACTACACTCCACACACCACCCCATCTTCCTTCTGCCCTCATCCTTCTATTGCCTCCACCTCTGGGTACTCTCTTTGACCCAGCCAAGTGGGATTGATTCTTTTGTGATTCCCCTGACAGTCCCCTATTCTGAGAATACCCTTCTCTTTCAGCAGTGCCTCCAGAAACAAGTAGGCAGGGTTACCTTTTGCAGTCGATCTGATTGTTCATACCTTGTTAAAGTTATATCTGAATCCCAAGCTTGTGCTATCTACATAACTGACTCATGACAAACCCATTCCTGCCGAACCTCACCCCTCTTAATACTTGTACTGGAACTGTTTTTATTCCCCCAAATGCTTGTCCCATGTATGACAAGGACTGGTCAGACTGTAAAAATGACCTACTTTCCTGCCTTGCTGAATATGATGCAGTTAAGTACAGTATTACACTATTCCTCCCAGAGGTCAGTGTAAATCCCATGTCAATATTGCCAAGATTAGTTTCCATAGACAAGATCTCCCCCATGAGTTTTATATTGGTGGATAGTCTCATCATGTCTGACAATATTGACCCCTTCCTCGTAAATAACAGAAATGTGCCCAACCTAGTCATGACTGTTCAGATTGCCCTGCTCAGTCATGTACAAGTGCCAATTGTGGAGACTCCCATAATTTATTTTATAGGAGCTGCCGTGCCTATAAATTTGAATGTGAGGTAGCAGTCCTTAGATTTAAACTAGGCCTCACTCTATGTGAGGCCAGACAGGAAGCACAACGACAAGGTTTTTCTCTCTCAACTTATTCCAAAACAGTCCTTTGCTCTGCTCCCCCACCATCTTCACAAGATGTTGCTGCATCTCCCCAAGTATCTCTCCCCTATAACCTAAACCTATGTCCCACGTCTACTCACCCTATCCACCAGTCAAATTTGTTTTCCATTCTAAATCCAGATACTCCAGTCTCTACCACTTCCCCAATACCTACCCCTCCTCACTTTATTTGTATTACCAGGTAAACTAAACGTTCCACTCCACACTCTCCTACTACATTCTCTCCTACACCTTCCTCTTCTTCTGTTCTTCGGATATCTATCTTCTCTTCTCCTCCTCATAAGAGAACATTTGTTTCTCAGTCTTCTTCATCCAATTCCGATCCAGAAACCCTTGAAGACATCCAAATCTTCCTAAAGATGACCCAAGGGAACACTCTGCTCCCTCATTCACCCCTCAATCCCTCTGTTCCTACTCCTTCTACATTTGAAGTATTTGCAGATATCCATCCTCCTCAAGTTCCCTCCAACCCCCTCCCTCCTACACCCTCCTAACCCTCTCTGCCGCTTCCACTTGAATGCTCACACGAAATCCCTTTATCACAACAATGTCCTTCTCCAGACCCCTCCCTTCCAGACTTTCTTCCTGATACTTCACCATCTTCCCCAGTCCCCCTTTCTGATCCCCTGGATTCTTCTCCTACTTTTCCAACAGCCACCTCTGTTTTCCTTGAACAGTGTCCTTATTCCTTCCCCGGTCATATATACACTGCAATTCAGCCAGTAGCTCTAACCCCTTATATTCCCCCTACTCCTTCCCAAAATATCTCATCCTCTACCCCCCCCAAAAAAAAAAACAAAAAAAACATCATTCCCACTACTTCCACTTCCTCCTGGATACACACGTGAATCTCTTTTATCAATCCTTCCCTAGACCCCACCTTCCCTCTCGAACCCTCAGACACTACTCCTTCACCTACTCCTGATCCTTTATCTCAACCCTCAGATACCTAATCCCCTACTACTAAGACAACTATATCTACCGCTATCACCTATTATCCCTATTCCTTCCCCAATCACAGATACAATGCAACTCACTTAATACCTCCTAAACCTTTCACATTTTACTAATCCCTGCTCTACTTCAATTACTCCCCTCATTTCCCTTTTCGTTACCATATTTTCCTATAACACGCTCTAATATTTGACATCTAACACCTCCTCTCCCTGGGTTCTCCTACTTTTCAACAGCTATCTCTATTCCTTGAACATTTTTCCTATATCTTCCCCAGTGACAGATACTCTATAAGTCACTCAATTGCTCTACCTCCTTAACCCTTCCCTTTCTACTAATTTCTGCTCTAGTTCACTTACTCCTCTTTTTTCTCTTTTCACTACTGTACTATACTATAATAATTTTCCTTTTGTGATTAGGAGTCAACAAGATGGGCATACACAAGTCTTCGGTCTATTAACATTATACTTATCTCAATACTGGTATAGTGCCATTCATTTAAAGCATACTTCCCTTGATAAATGGAATAGATTTTAACTGGCAAACGTATTACAGGGTCCCCTCTCTGGAAGGGGAAGGGGGACCGATGGGACTGCAGCAATCACTGCGGAATCACACTGCTCAGTGTACCAGGCAAGGTTCTTGCCCGCATCCTTCTGAGGCGTATTAGAGACCATATATTAAGGCATCAGAGGCCAGAGCAATCTGGATTCACTCCTGGTAAGTCCACAATAGACCGTATCCTTGCGCTTCGAGTCATTGTAGAGCGCTGTCGTGAGTTCTGACGTGGGCTGCTTGCAGCCTACATCGACCTCAAGAAGGCGTTCGATACAGTGCATCGGGAATCACTCTGGGAGATCCTGAGACTGAGAGGAATTCCAACAAGAATTATTGTACTAATAGCAATCCTGTATACTGGTACTGAAAGTGCTGTAAAGTATGGTGGGGACCTGTCGAGCTTCTTACCTGTCAGTTCAGGAGTGAGGCAAGGCTGTGTTCTTGCACCAACACTTTTCAACACCTGCATGGACTGGATACTAGGCAGAGCTACTGTTCAAAGTCATTGTGGAGCAACACTGGGTAATATTAAGGTTACAGACCTTGACTTTGCCGATGATATTGCTATTCTATCTGAGTCTTTGGAAACTCTAGTGGTGGCTCTCGATGCATTTAGTAATGAAGAGAAGCCCTTGGGTCTAGAGGTCTCCTGGACAAAGACCAAGATCCAGGACTTTGGGGTCTTGCTAGGAGAACCTGTTTGGTCAGTATGTACTTGCAGTGAGGACATTGAAGTCACAGAGAGCTTTGCATATCTTGGTAGTGCAGTTCATAACTCTGGGCTGTCAGACCAGGAAGTCAGCAGACGGATAGGCCTTGCAGCAGGGGTCATGAACTCTTTCGACAAGAGTATTTGGAGGTGCCGGTACCTGTGCAGAAGGACCAAGCTACAGGTTTTCAGGGCCCTGATAATGCCAGTTTTGCTCTACGGTAGTGAAACCTGGACATTATCCAGTGCCCTGGAGTCTCGTCTTGATGCCTTTTGTAATAGGTCCTTGTGCCGGATCATGGGGTACTGTTGGCGGGACCATGTGTCTAACCAACGGCTGCACTGTGAGACTGGTACAGGACCTGTTACCCGCACAATCTGGGATCGCCAACTCAGGCTATATGGCCACCTGGCTCGCTTTCCACAGGCTGATCCTGCTCATCAGGTTGTCTCTGTAAGAGACAACCCTGGGTGGAGGAGGCCTGTGGGATGACCTAGGATGTTGGGCAGATCGATCAAACCTGTCGGGAAGAGCTCGAGATGGGCCGAGTCCCTGCCTGGTGGCTTGCCATGAGGGATCCCAAAAGGTGGATGCTGCTATGCCCCCATTGGGTTAGCCTGACTATGATGATGATGAATTAAGAAAAGAAAAATTCTTTGTGTGTGTGTGTGTGTGTGTGTGTGTGTGTGTGTGTGTGTGTGTGTGTGTGTGTGTGTGTGTGTGTGTGTGTGTGTGTGTGTCTGCAACTGTGCTTTGTGGTACATTTATAGTGGTTATTTATATATATAAAAAAAGATGACCATATTTTAGTTTCATACTTCTGATATACTTTTGTAGGTATTTTTCCTTCAAGCTTAGCATTTTTATTCATATGTGTGTGTGTATGTACACACACACACACACACACACACACACACACACACACACACACACACACACACACACACACACACACACACACACACACACACACACACACACACACACACACACACACACATATACACATACACATACATACATACAT